ATCGCGAGGTTGACATCACGATGATTAATAATTAGAACCTTAACTCCATTCCATGAATCGTGCTCGGTAAGAAAAAAGCTAAAGGGTGTTTTCCGAGATGTTCTTTTTCACAATGACGTTTCGTGTGACAGGGAGAACATTGAAGAGCATTTGTGCGTTTCGTCCCACGGGAGCGAGTCGCGGGATATTTCCCCCTTCGTGTTTCGCTCCGTCCTCCCGTGGCTTTCTGGTTTCGTTTTTCCTCGCGCCGAGATTCCGCTGGCAAGCGGGTATCAGTCAAAACAGTATCACGTGGTCCGTTCATCCTGTCATGGGAAACGCGCGCGGGAGAGATCTCGCTCGGCAAAGATTCGGTCGTCGCTGAATCTTTCGTACCAAGCTCTCGTCTTACGAAAAAAGAAAACCGAAAAAAAAAGATGTGTGACGCGGTTCCCAAAGACGTCGCTCGACTGATAAATCACAATCACACAAATATCATGGCAATTATTATTATTATTATTATTAGATTCCACGATCTATGGCGTGGTATAGTTAAGATGAATCTGAAAAAGGAATTTTCGAATAATTTATTCGAAATATTTTGTGATAAAATTTCATGCACGCTGAAGGAGCTTTGGGTGAACGGAAATATGTAGAATTTTTTACGAAAGAGCTGTTTCGGAAGAGCGGAACGCGCGTTTCCTTTCATTGATGCTTGGCGAGTTTTCGCCGAGGCGAAATCAGAATAAGGAGAAAACGAATCCTTGGATTCGCGTCGCTTGGGTTTCCACTTTCTGTCGACTTGGACTCGGATCACGACGAACAGCCGCGACGTCGGTGAAATTGCATAAAATTGTAATGTGGAATGACACACTGATACAATTTGCGCGAGGCCACGACGATGGCAGAGGAGGTATCGTCATCCAAATATAAACGAGTAAACGGATCAGTCTGCCGACCGTCTGGTTATTTATCCCGCTTTTCCGAGATTATCTCAAGAACCCCTTGGCTGACCATTCGACTCGTCCCCGCAGGGCCGCATGAATGTAAAGGCCATTGCACGAGATGAATAATCCATGTCGGTTCTCGAAAAGAAACTGTAGTAAACTCCGTCTAATAACACATCGATCTAACGACGTCAACGTGTCACTTTGGCACTTTTTATACTTTATAGAATAAAATCGGTGTAATTGAAAGAGGAGTATTAGTTTTTTTTTATTAAAAATATTTGCATTAAGAGTATAAAGAAATTCACAATTGTCAACAATGATTTATTAAGGATGAATAAAAATTAAAAAGCTAAGAATTGGAATAGTTGATTATTATATATTTGAAAAATTATAATATATTTTTAATTAAAGAGAGTTCGTAGTGTACATTTTTAAATGCGCTTTTAGCAAATACGAAAATATGAGTGAAACTTTTCATACAGGAAGTAATGGCAGAAAAAGCGACATTTAATTGACATGTAATCGTACATAAGTATGGACACGATAACTATGATTGATTGTTTAAAACGAGAGCGATGCTAAGGTAGTGTAGCGATTCCATTTATGCAAGGGCCATGTTGTACTTCGCGCCGTAAAGGTAAGTTTATAAATACACTGGGATTCAAAATAGACATCGGACAATCCACGTTCGTCGCAAACGCATGGAGTCAGGAACTCGACAAAATTTAAATATCTCCAGGCACGTATCTTCGGTGATCTAAGATTGATTCAAGCTAGTCTTGAGCCAATTTCTCGTCATATTTATCTCCATTCGGAATTATTCTCGTTCGTTACAAAATAAACGAATACAAAAGAATGATTACATTACAGGACACCATATTACACTCAAAATTTCCTTTTATTCAATTAATTTTTCATGTATCACTACATGTCATTAAATAAAAAATTTTTTTTTTTTTTGAAGAACACATTCATAATAAATATGATTTGGTATGCTTAAAATTTTGCCGATTGTGATCAAATTTTTCTTCTAATAATTTTTTATTTTTTTATTACTCTTCCTTGCTTTTTGATCATTCAAGTCAAGTTGTGTATGACGTTAGATATTTTCTAAACGCAAAAATTTTTTACAGCAATAAATAATCATTTTTATTCATTGTGATTGTTTCTTAATTCATTCCAGATACAATATGTTCTAATATTAAAAACTTTATTTTTTGACACATGAAAAAGTTTCTAATAAAAATCATTTGACAGATATAAGTCAAGAATTGTTTTACAGTGACTGCTAGAGAAATAATTTCGTTAGTATTTACTTTGAGCATCTCTCTTAATAAAACTTTAGGTATAATATATTGTAACATTGGATGCATCGTTAAATCCTTTTTTTTCGAGCGAAGGGCATGGGAGGATTCTAATAAAAGTCATCTAGCGGATATAAGTTTTGCGTCGCGGCCACTTTCAAAGCTAAGAATTCTTTATGGCGGCTAGTTACACACAGTCCTAGATATCTCTCCGGTCTCCGGATGTACGTTTTCAGCTGTAACTAGGATCGTTCTCGGTATTATAAATCAAAACCGAACCGCGTTTGTGCCACTTTTCGTTCATAAGGCGGCGTACTTTGACGGAAATTATAATCGACCATGTGTAAAACCGCATAAAGATCACTGAAATGCGAACAAAGGCGCGATGACGATCTCATTAAAGTCGTTAGTTTGATAAGTATCCTTGAATATGAAGAGGAAGATATTAATCTTTCTTTTCGTTTCTCGCTCTCATAATGAGAGATGATATTTATAATTATTTATAATTATCTTTTAATTTATGGTAACTAATAATAAATGATGATTCCGTCAATAGACGCTTTTATCATTTATTCTAAATCATCTCGCCAAGATAGATTCTTTTAGCATTTAAATTATATTATAAATAATTCTTTTAAAATAAATGTCTTTGACATATTTTTGTTATATCTCACAAATGTGTAAGATACATGTTGCAATTTAATCAATTTTGATTCACGAGTTGGACGTTTGAACTTCTGGATTTATTCGGTACAGATTTTTATCAACAAAAGAAAAATGTTTATTTGTGTTATCTCGATGAGTAAAATAGATAAGAAATGAAAAAAGATTTAGTTATATAGAAAAGAGTAGTAAAGTAATAATTCTATCAAATATTTGTATATTATGGACTATGTTTGATTATTCTACTAATTATTGTTTCATTGGTATTGTACAAATACAAAATTATTAATATTAAATATTCTATAATATATACATAATACTATATATATAATACAATATTTAATTGTAAACATATAATCAAATTTAAATTTTAAATTTTGCGAATATCTAATGGATTTGTTACACCACTGCTTTATGTCAAATGTCATCTAAAATCTCCAAAAATATTTCACAGACAGTATTTTATTTAATTTAAAACAAAATTTTATGAAATTAGTCAATAATAAACGATCTCTTAAACAGTTTTCTTATAGAATCGTTTGTAATTTGTTTGAAAATCTTTGAAAAGTATATAAGAAAATTTGATAGTCAGTTTCGAATAATTTTAATTAATGTATTATTTTATACAATTAGCTGAAGCAAATATTATCTTCAACTGATAACTTTTCCATAAGCAAGTAATATTAAATACAAAATACATATACATATTAAATAAAAAAGTTTTTTGTAAAGTCAATATAAAGATTATTCAAGTCTTAAAGAAATATCAATAAAAAAAACCATCAAAAATATCCAAAAATATAATTAAATCCCTTTAATGGTGTTGACTCGTGTTTTTGCCTTTATCTTTCACTTATTCTTTATTTTTTTCCATTCTCATTTTACCATTCGCGTTTCTTTTTACTTAAACTGTTTCTCATTTTAGCCAAGAGGGAGTCAGTGCGCAACGAACTTTTACAATCCGTTGTCTTAAACGGTAACATCATCAACGACGGTCTCTTGCCGATCGGCTGACGATGAATGTAGCTTCCAAGCTGCCGAGCTGAATCGATACTACTTGGCGTTGTATAAATCCATTCACGTTCACGCGCACGCTCGATGCAACGCAGTTGCATCAGAATCGGAGAATAATAGAAACATACATTGCGATAGAAGCCGTCGAGTTTTTTTAAGTCCTGCGAGAGCATGTAAAAGTTTTCTTGTAAAATTATTAAATGCTTCCACGGTTTGCAATCCACAAATTGCAACGATGGCTTCCGGCGGTGAGTACGCCGTACGCTGATAACGTTGGACTATTTTTTACAGCTGGACTACTGTACACTCGTTGTATTTAAAATGAAATAGATGTAAATTTGAAATTTGGCAGAAAAGTGAGAAAGTTTTAATTTCTTTAAATTGAATCGTCACAGTGACAATACGATGATTCAAAATAATATGATTTGATCATTTCATCGAATTGACGATCGAAATATATTTATAATTAAAAATGGCTACATTGTCAATTGAATTAAAATTGATCAGAGCTCATATAGCACAGACCTCCAATGAATGTTTAAATACGTTCAGAGGACGTCTTACAGATAAGATCACGTCCTAAGTATATTTCCAAGCGTCTCTCGAATAAAGTGTGTTGTATAGAAGAGGATCGAAGTGACCCTGACATGATGATAATACCAATTCACCAATTGTTGTAATATGAGAAACGTAGGATCACTTATGATGAAATTGCCGTTATTATGCCGTTTATCGTATTATATTATTGCATACTTAGATTATTTTATCCCCAGGTATTTAACCTGAACAAGTGTTACTAACGTATTGTCGGCATCGGTGACGTAGCTAGCTGCGGGGACATTGACGGCTTAATAATTTTATTAATCGATAAAATATCCATATATAATTATACGTTTTTATATATAGACATATTTTATATATACGATGTCTTATGTATAATTTTATATATATATATATATATTTATTTATATAAATTATATATATATATATATTTAAATGAGGAAAATATTAGATTTTGTAAATATAATTTTAACTTCTTTTTTAATTTTGAAAAAGGATGAATTCCCCTCCCCTCGTAGATATGTCATGTTTCCATGATAAATTCAAAATTATGCTCCATCTCCCTTATCTATCCCACTAGTTACATTCCTGATCGGTGAGACAGCTCATGAGACTCGGGAGGTCGCTCGCGTGTTGTTTTGGCGGGAAAGTTGCGCGGCAGTCCCCTGTACGTCCGTTCACGATCGTTTAGTTAGTTTGTGCATACGTTAGTGCTTTGTAGAAGGTAGAGAGCGAACGATTTTCGAAACCGAGTTGTCATCAGAAGTCACAGTTGAACTACGATTCCACTGTGATTATTTTAATTCGATTTATATTAAACTTATCAGCTCGGTTTTGAGCCACTACTGAATTTCACGTGATAATCATTTGGTGAGTGAAACACTGCACATAACGTTGACTGAGAACTGATGTGGAATTGTCTTATTTTCTTATCTATTTCAATTGAACACTCAAAATTACTATATTAAGTTATTATTAATATTATAAGACTTCTTCAGATCTTTCGCTTCAAATAATAGAAAGCGTTTAAGAAAGTTATTTGATTTAAACGATAAAGATAGTTTTATTGTTATTTTTAATAGGTATATTATTTTACTGTTGTAAAGAAATCAACTTTCTCATTTTAATAATGAATTCATTTCAAATAGGTAATTATATTTTAATAATATATTTTCTGCCTACAAGGAATTCAAACATTCCTGTGTATTTGTTTAGAAAGTTTAAGTATGATTCAGAACTTAAAACATGAGTCCCTTTACTGCTCACATTAAAAATTCCCAATTAACATAGAAAAAAATTGATGGTTTAAAATCTGTTGAACAAAATAACTAATTAAAATCATTTGCCTTATCAAGTTTTATCATTATTTGCAATTTAACAATAGTTTTGGACAACAACCTTCTTTATTTTTTTAGTTTCTAAATTTGTTTATTTTTTTCTTAAATTTGAATATCATGCAATAATATTTATTATTATATATCTTGTAGATCATGAGTTTTAAATCACATATGTTTCAGAATTCCAGTTTTATATAAAATTTTATGCTCTCCCAAATAATATACTTTGCTATGTGAATGAATGTGTCTAATAAGTAATTAATTTTATTTATTAAATTATTAAAGATATTTTTTTCTATTAAGATAATCTATTTAAGATAATCTTTTGAGGATTTTATATCCTGTTGATAAATTCTTAGAAAGTAATTATCATTTGAAGTATATTGTTACTGTTTGCATTATACTATGCTTATCATATTTCTTCTAAGAATGAGCTAAATAAATATTTTGCCAATGAAATCAAATATGTTGTCTGTTTAGGTAAAGCAGCACTTCAAGCCTTCATCAAAATGTCTGGCTCCATTGGTAAATTATATAAACGTCCCTTTACTGTATGCGTGGAGGGCAACATAGGGAGTGGTAAAACAACGTTTTTAAGTCACTTCAAGAAATATGACAATGTTACTGTATTGGAAGAACCAGTTGAACTTTGGCGCGATGTATCTGGGACAAATCTATTGGTAAGTCATATTTTTATAATTTTAAATACATTCTAATATAAATATTTATTCTTACAAGGTATTATTTAAGAGTAATAGACATCGCAAAAATATATTTTAGGAATTAATGTATAGCGAACCATCTCGTTTTGCTTTCCTGTTCCAATCATATGTACAATTGACTATGCTCCAATTACATACTTGTAAAACACCTTCGCCATACAAAATAATGGAGAGATCTGTCTATAGTGCAATGTGCTTCGTAGAACATTTAAAACGCAGAAATGTACTGCGTAATGTTGAAGTCACTATTTTGGAAGATTGGTATGACTGGTGCTTGAAAAATGCCAATATAGAAACTAATTTAATAGGTATGTACGATCTTCATTTATTTTATGAAAAATTATTGCTATTGAAGAAATACATTTATTTTACTTATCTCTTTATTTATCTCTTTACTTATCTCTTCTTTAATATTGCCTCTACTTATCTTTATTTACTATTTCTATATTTATTTATTTATTTATATTATCAAATAGTATACTTGAGAACGACGCCGGAGATCGTATATGAAAGAATGAAAAGACGAGGTCGGAAGGAAGAAAACGCTGTTTCCTTGGAGTATCTAAAGCAAATCCATCAGATCCATGACGATTGGCTTTATCATCAAACTTTGAAGCCAGTGCCGTCACCGGTAATAACCATAAACGGTGATCGAGAACTTCATGAAATGGTAGAAGAATTTGATAAATGTAAAAACGAAATCTTCAGTAAGGTAATAGACGATAATGACGTAAATAATACAATAATTACAGTATCGACAAATCGCGTGCTACCTGAAATCAAAGCTGGTATCTCAGATTAAAGTATAAAAATAAAAAAACAAATAAAGAATTTTTAACTAAATATTAAATATTAAAACGATAAATATAATCCTGCATTTACATTGATCAATTA